AAGCTTGAATTAACGCCGTAAAAGCTTGAAACATATAAACATAGCTACAAAAATAAAATAATTTTAATCGAATCGCCATAAAAATTAAAAWAATAAAATATAAAGTAGTCATAATAAAGTCAAAAATTACTTATTAAACAAAATAATTGTATATAACTTCGTTTTTCTCTGCAGCAAACTTTAAATTTCACTTGCGCTCTTATAAAGTGTTACAMTTTGTAATCAAAATGCTTATTTCGCTAACTTATTTGCTATGAAAATGTTTTTTGTTTGCTCACTTAGCATTTAAGTACAAATTTTCGTTTCGCTAAAAATCATTGTGTGGTCAMATTTTTTTACTCCCAAAGTTTTTTCCATAAATTTAATTTTGTTATAGTTTTTTCTTCCGCTTATATASGAAATTGCCATATTTCAATAACTCCTTCATACACATTGTGCATTACACAGCTGACATATTTAGCTGGYTGACTCGCAAACGAATTGAATATCAATTCGTTAAACACATTAAAGTTCAAACCAACGCTTTCGCCTATAAAATTCCATTTCACATTGTCATATTTACTTCGCGCCGCATGCGTCTTCATTTCTTGCTGCTATTGCGGTGCCGAAAGTAATAACGCGATGTCACCGCTACCAAGCGCTTTTCGGCAAAGCGTTTTGGCCAATTCTAGGATTCGTAGAGCAAACGCTGATAGTGYGGCAATACCTCGTGCATGGGCACATGCAAGCTGAACTCCAATGCCACAAGTACGGCGAATTCCGAAGCGATTAGCTCCTTGCGATTGACACGAAACACACTCTCGGTTTTCTGTTGATAAAGGAAACATTAAATTAAGTAAAAAAAAAATTAAACTTATTACGTAATTAATTTCAGCTCATACACACCTCAATTAGGCTTTTCAGCGATTCACCTTTCACATCGTTCATTTTGGCGCTGAGTAGCAGACAAGAGCCTGCGCATAGCTTGCGATTACTCTTGTTGATTAGATTGGCCAAGATCAATTTCTCAAAGTAGACATATGCTTGCGATATGGTGACCAAATCAATGCGACTGTCCAACTTGTTGATGCGACGCATTTCACGCTTGATGCTGTGTGAATGGAATAGAAAAAAAAAAAAAAAAA